CCCCCACCACCCTAGTGAGGGTTAAGGTGTAGAGATGATGGATGGATGTTGAACCCTAAAACTTGCAGGTACAAAAAGCATGTTATCTTAAAAAAACACCAAAACAACATAATTTATCAGCTAGCAATTGTAAAAACAGAAAGAATGATCCAATTCTCGACCTGTCGGTGGTCCCTGAACTAATCATGTGTGACGATCCATCAAGAAAATGAACCAGATCTAAACAGAACTCTGTGACATGTTAAAGGCACTGAGGTCAAAGTTCTGACCTGACACATAAAACCTAAAACATTTGGACAAAATTCTGAATATTTCAACGATGTTACATAAGAAAATACATGAACCCTCTGAAACCCAAAACCTGCAGCTTTGAAAGGTGAGTTATCTTTAAAATATCTCCAAATGACAACTTATCAGCCAGAAACTGTGGAAGCAGAAGGAATCATCTGATTTTCAACTCTCCAACAGTACTGGAAGTAATCAAGTGAGATGTGCAGTTTTATTGAAAAGAATGACCAAAGAAAGCTTCAGTTCTAATCTAGACAATCTAGAGCTGTGTTGTCCATCGGAGTGACTCCTGCCCTCGTGTACCTGTGATGGCGATGTAAGCAGTGGTGTTGATGATTTCTAGTCCTCGCTCTCGCACCACGTCCATGTCCACCAGAAGCTCCTCCCTCTCTGGGTTTAGCTCCTCCCCCAGAGGTTGGACCTCGCAGCCGTCCAAAGTGTGAGCGACAGCGTCGGACATCAGAGCTGGAACACAGAGAACACAGTGATGGACTCAAAAAGAGCTGCATTCTATATGTAGAATATTATTTATTATATTGTGTGTTCACATGTATGTATATATATATCACAAATTATCTTATATTGTATGTATCTACACGTATATTATATATTATACTGTATCTATATGTGTCTATCATAGATTATATTACATCGTATGTATTTATATGTAAAATATTATATTATATTATATATATATATTTATACACTGCTAGGCTATATATATATATATATTATAGGGCATGTATGAAGTATCAGTCAGCTGACGGACCTCCCCCCTCCATCCCCTGAGCTGCTGTATTCACAGCATGAGACAGCGAACACACGATCCGAAGCTCCGGGAACAGTGGAACACCGCGGGAACCTTCGAACTCGGGGGCGGGCCGGGCCAGGTGAGGTCCGACACCTGACAGGGAGATCTGAGGGGCGTCGGGCTGCAGGACCACCAGGTAACCCTCCAGCTGTTTCAGAGACAGGCAGCTCTCCTCGTTGAAACATCTGCAGAGACAAACACTGAATCATTTCTCTCATTTCCACTGAGGCTCAGACCGAAGCATCTCTGCAGCTGCTGCATGAACAGCATCACATTCATGACCTGCAGAGGATGAAGCCTTCATCCAGCGCCACCATGTGGCTGATGTTTTTGGTTTTTAATGAAACGTGTCCACAACTATTGGATGGAATGGCCATGAAGTTTGGCTCACGTTACTGTCCTCCACCAACGGCACTGAAAATCCCGAAAGATATATTGGAAATATCAAAAAAACAACACAAAACAAAACAAAAGCGGACTTTCCAGCAGACGACTTGAATCACTTGTTTGTGAAGCCTGAATGATTGGAGTGATTCTCTGAGAGCGTCTGCAGAAGAAAACAGGAAGCTCATGAATCATTGCTGTGCAGCTGCTATTAAGAACAACTTTTTAGATCTAGATTCTGGTTGTTTTGGGAAAGCCTTCATGAACTGAACAAGAGGAACAGTGCAATAAAACCAATAGTCCTGGTCCGGCCCGACCCGAGCCCCCTCCTGGATGCTTATTATTACAAGTTTGTTCATTGCGGGTCCTCTCGCACATTAGTTTCCTTTTTTTTTCTTAAATGTAACGTGTGAGCTGCTGGATACCTTAAATTTCCCCAAAGGGATGAAAAAAGTATTTTTCTATCTATCTATCCATGACCAGAACCTAATGAACAGAACCTGAATCTGTCTCCTGGTTCCACCATCTGAACGTTGTAAAAATCAAAAAATGTCAAATGCAGCAGCTCCTCTGATACAAGTTGAATTTGCTGCAAGCAGAAAGCGTAAATCAGACGGATGAAGGCTGCTAACACGTATTTATTCATCTGCACTGAAATTCAGCGTAATATTTGAGGGATTAAGCAGAGTGACTGTTGTGTTTCACTATCAGAGGAAGCAGCTGCTTCTATCAGCCTCTCCAGAAGGGCCTGCTGTTCAGCCATCTGGGTAACTGCTGGCCTTAAATCACTCTAATCTTCACACACGCAATAAAAAAAACACTCGAGCCGCAACCAAGACAAAAAAAATCTGTCCCTGACCTTGAATCTTAAAAACAGAGAGTGAGAAAAAAGCCCTGCAGCTCGGCCCGACAATCATTTTAATCTTATAAACATGCGACTGAAACAACTGTGGCTGCAGGCAGCAGTGAAAATATCTGCACAGGCTGAATATAAATACAGATGCAGCACACCGTGAACGCTGGACTGGACTTCCCTGAATTAATATTTAATCAGCTAAGAGTGGCTGCTGCAGCCACGGAGCCAGTACCGGTTGTTCTGCTGAGCACTGACCCGGAAACACAGCAGCCATTTACCAGATGAACCACTGACAGGAACCAGACACACGCTGCAGTATTTAATGGTTAATTCCTGCAGCATTATCAGGTGAAGATGAATCAGCTCATCAAACTGGCACCATGTATCAGCCAGAAACTAAAAAAGAAATGATCAAGATCTTAAACTTCCTGATCATCGCTGATGCGTCGCTGTCAGCAGAATGATCCACTTCTGAGTTTAAAACGGCAAGATTTCATCAGATCCTGTAGAACCAAAAATAACAAGCAGCAAATGAAATCCTTGAGCTCCATCAGCTGGCTATAGAAAGACTTCAGTTTATTTAGTTGAAGAAGAAGCTCCACTGTGGCTGAGTGTACAGAGATAAGATATTCCCTGTTATCTGACATCTTCTCCATACAGTCACGTCTCTCATGGCCCAGCTGAGCCAAAGTCCATGTTTGAAGAGTTCAGTGTCGCCAAACTGTTGGTTTATCATTGACACGCTGGAGCTCTGCAGTGTAATCATTTATATTTGTGTCTCTTTTCTTACCAAGGACATCACTCTGGTTAGTCTGGTTAGAGCTGCATCACACTCAGACCTGTCCTGGTCAAACCCTCCATGACTGATTCCATCTTATTATGCTGCAGCCTTTCTGCTCATTGTTCTT